ACTCGGTAATTTTTGTCCCGCCCGTCACAATTGAAAATTGTGAGTAAAAACCACAAGTTATAAAATTAATATTTTATAACATTATTTTTATTGTGCTTATAACTTATTAAAAGCATAATAAAAACATATTTTTAAATAAATTTTATAACGTGTAGTTTTTACTCACAATTTAAAGTTGTGACGGGCGGGACAAAAATCCCTGAGTAACGTGGAATGACCCAAGAGCAACTTAAGACTCAAATTTTGGTATAAAAAATTTAATGTTTATGATTGTTAAAACCACAAAAATTTTAAGCTTAAGTTTGAAAGTGAGCTAAAGCCACCCGTGTTTACGGTACCTATATTTACAAAACATTAAAAATGTAACAGGATAGAATAAAATAACTATCCATATTTAGTAAATATACAATATTATTTGTTAAAAATTTCTTTAGTTAGTATTTTGATCGAAACTCAAAATTTTACCCGCAAACATGACAAAAATGCCCGATTTTCGTAAGTAATATCATAAGGGCAATAATAAACTATGGAATACTTAATTATGGAACAAACTTAACAAAAAAACAAATAAAACAATTATCAACAATCCAAAACCAATCTCTTAAAATCTACACCAATACACGCCTTAACCAATGAAGCAGCCATGACCCCAATGAAATTACACATAGAACAACAGATACGAACCTCTTTCGTAAATTTACGGTCATACAGAAAACAAACTTTATATACTGAACAACCTCGTAACAACTAATAAATAGGGGAAGGTGGGGGAATTTTGCGCGGTGGGTAATTTTACGCATAAACAATTCTTCCAGATATGAAGTAAATAATACATTTTTTGAATGTTGCAAACTTGGAAACGTTGCTTTGGGTATACGGGGACTAAAGTGTACCGCAATTAAGCTATAGCTTTTAGCTAGTGACCATGGTCACTAGCTAACTGTGATACATGTACGTTGATCTAAGAAATCCATGTCGCTTCCGCTACGAGTTAAGTTTAAATTTCTGTCCAATCGCTTAAATGTTTATAACACAACTTTATATGATCTTTCCTCGTAATCTGGTGTATGTTTAAATTGTTCAGGTTAACTTTTGGAATGTTTTTTAGTATCCCAATATTTTTCTTGCATATACGCTGAAAAATTGGGGTAATTTTGCGCTGCAAAATTTGGCCAATATGGGAGCTTTTGGTACAGGAGCCTAGATTGTTCATCATAAACAGTTCCATTTGGGCACACGCGGAGTGTAGCGAAAAAAACAACCCCTAAAACTACATATGTGACAACTGCTGCATGTAGACCCTCTTATTTCTAAGAACAAAAATTTTATTTTTAGTTATTTATTTTTGATCTTGTTTGTTTTGTTTGTTTCATAGAGAAAATAGTTTTGTTTTATTATTATGTTTTAATATAATAATATTATAGAAATAAACGGTTTATTTAGATACCTACAAATCTTTCTCTATACAGCGCAAATTTCCCCCCTATGATGCGCAAAATTACCCTGATAGGTGGGTAATTTTGCGCAAATGCATTATACCAAACATTTTTTTTTTATAAATTGCGCATTTTATACACATAGTAAACATAGTAGACTATCGCTGGTATTAATTGCAAAATTTCACATTTAAACTTAACAAAGATACTAGAGATTTTGCTTAGATGCGCAGAATTCCCCCACCTTCCCCTACTGGAGTAAGACTAAAATCCCCCTGGGCATACTTGCCTATCAAGAGTACAAAGAAGCCTTAACTTACGTCAACAGCATATACCCCCCACATGACTTTCCATTATCCAGACAACCACTAAAAGTAACAATCAATATACCTAATATCAAATACAAAAATGAAGATTCAATAATACTTAAAACAGAAACCCTAAGAATGATAGACAATGAATTCGAAAAAATATACACCGATGGATCGAAAAAAACAGAATACACAGCGGCGGCAGCAGTAATTCCATCTCTTGACAAACGCAACAATTCTAACGGCAGAACTAACAGGGATCCTTATGGCATTAAACCTAATTGAAAATACAACACCTCATACACAAAACTATGTAATTCTAGACTCAAAGGCAGCTTTACAAACACTTGTAAATATAAACACTTTAAAAAACACACATCCGATAGCAGAAGAGATACATCAAGATTAGTAATATCAAGGACAATAATGTTGAATTCCAATGGATACCAGGACATATTAATATCCAAGGCAACGAAATGGCAGATGCAGCCGCCAAAAAAGCGTTACAGCCTATCTATAACGTAAAAATGCCTCACAACGACTTAAGGCGAAATATTAAAGACAAAATAATAGAAAAATGGAAACTCGAATACAACCACACAATAACAACAAAAGGTAAATGGTACGGAAAAATACAACCTGACATACAAATAAAACCTTGGTTCCAAAATATTAACATTAAAAGACACACAACCAAAAAAATAATAAGATGCAGAACTGGACATGGTCTCCTAAACGATAAAAAGCACCTTTTTAAGTTAACAGACAACCCAAACTGTCCAACTTGTGGGACACCCGAAACGGTAGAACATATGTTCTATGTCATATGTTCTATGACATAATATGTTATATTATGTCTTACTACACTGCCAAAAAAACCAAGATGAAAGAGAGAAAACAGAAAGAAAAACTGGAAGCACCATCATTGAAATGCTAAAAGATATTGAAAACAATTACATAAAAATGAAAAACTTTTTACAGACAGTCCCTGAGCTCTAAAGAAGGTTTTATTGGGTTGCATAGCAATGGGCTAAAACCTTGTACATATTTTAATATATAGTTATTGTAAATATGTACAATGTATAAATAAATAAATAATCATAAGGGCATTTAATTTTTCCGAAAAGAATCGAAAAAACACGTTGCTAAGTAATATTTTAACAAAAACCATGAGTGCTGGTGGCAACAAAAATCCGAGTCGAAGAGGAGGATTTTTGCACCTGCACGAATGCATTTTGTTAAAAAATATTACTTAGCATTGTGTTTTTTCGATTTTTTTCACAGGAAAAATTAGATGCCCGAATGGTATTTGACAAGACTATATATGAGTAACAGTTAACAATTAAAATATAAATTGCAATTTTTGGTGACAACAGCTGTCAAGTTTTGCCGCGGGTAAACTCGAAAAAACTGCTGACAGGTGCTGTCACACAGTTTTTTCACCTAGAAACCATTTGTAATTCAAAATTGCGCGTTTGTGATTGGTGGAAATTAAGACGAGGGAAATAGTCGTAAGTAATATCATAAGGGCATTTAATTTTTCCGAAAAGAATCGAAAAAACACGTTGCTAAGTGATATTTTAACAAAAAGCATGAGTGCTGGTGGCAACAAAAATCCGAGTCGAAGAGGAGGATTTTTGCACCTGCACGAATGCTTTTTGTTAAAAAATATTACTTAGCATTGTGTTTTTTCGATTTTTTTCACAGGAAAAATTAGATGCCCGAATGGTATTTGACAAGACTATTTCATGAGTAACAGTTAACAATTAAAATATAAATTGCAATTTTTGGTGACAACAGCTGTCAAGTTTTGCCGCGGGTAAACTCGAAAAAACTGCTGACAGGTGCTGTCACACAGTTTTTTCACCTAGAAACCATTTGTAATTCAAAATTGCGCGTTTGTGATTGGTGGAAATTAAGACGAGGGAAATAGTCGAGTAAAATACCCGCAAACGGCAACACTGGGTACGTACTGACCTAGAGCTATCTAGAAAACGAGGGAATATGCAATTATAATACCTGACGGTGATCTGTGATCTATAGACCGCGATCAATCTTCCCAATGCTCCAGTAATATTCCCTGCTTATCTGGAATGATCCGGCACATTCCCGGAGCATTCTGAAACAATCCTTAAGAATCCTTCAGGAATATTCTCAACTTCACTGGAATAATCCGGTGCATTTCAGGAGCATTTTTTGGGAATATGTCTGAAAAAATCTTTAAGAATAATTAAAGGCTACACAACATTAAAGTAAATGTGAAAATTATTATTACACAGACTGCAATGAAGGTTCGAAAATATTTTAGGAATATGCCCTATCATCTAGAAATATTCCGCTTCATTCTAGGAATATTCCATAGAATGATCCTCTAAAACTTCCAAACACCATCTAAGAAAATTCCCAGTGAATATTCATTAGTTTAGTTGCAATACCTCTCACCGGTTACTGAGCAGATGAGGATGGAGATGGGAACTTCAAACAATTAATGTTCAGCTATGCCATTACAGACGCACACTTTCAACTAAATATTGCAACCCATCGCTATTTATAGTTAGCTCGCTTGCGTAAGCAGCCGTGAGATGTATTGCGTATGCCGCGGCAGGCCGTATTCCGGCCGTAAGCGGGCCGGCTAGGGCAAGCCGAACGATTTTGTAGCGGCATGCCGTATTCTGATCGACTTTGGTTAGAACATGGCCAAACGGTACCGGGCTAACATAAAGCGGGTCATAAGCGGGACGACTGGGGGCAAGCCGAACCGCCGGTCAACCGCCTATGCCGAGCGAAGGCCGACTGCTTGCCGAGTGTTTGGTGCTTACTGGGTGTCCATAGATAAAGGAATACCTCTATTCCCGGAATCCAATTTTGTCCCTCCTGGGTCAAAGTCAGCTATTTTTCACACTTTTTCATCGAGCGATACTCACGAAAGACAAAGTCGAACTCATTTAATCTGTCGATAAGACTTTGACAAGCACTACTTTGTTGACAGCGGATCCGACAGCAAAACTATCGTTTGGAACAATGCATGGTCAGATGAATATTTGCTTATATAAAAAGAAACTATTAAACGTTTTATGTTCAATTGAACTATTATTTAAGCTTGTTACTATACTTTTCAACGTATTTTTAGCTTACCAACCGTAAGTGGAGTATTCAGGTTTATTAATTTAATCATGTCAACCTTACCTTTCAACTTTTAAATTTTACCAATTTATATCTGTAACATTAAAAATTAAAATATAAATCCTTTCAGGTATAATCTCAAAACTTGACCATCTTAAAGATGCCGGTGTAACAGCAACATGGCTCTCGCCTATCTACAAGTCCCCAGGCGTGGACCAAGGTTACGATATCTCGGACTACAGAGATATAGACCCCATTTTTGGCACCTTGGAAGATTTCAAACAACTCCTCGCAAAAGCCAAGGAGTTGGGCATAAAAGTCATTCTTGATTACGTACCAAATCACACCAGTGACGAGCATGAGTGGTTTAAAAAATCGTTGGAGAATGATAATGAGTACAACGATTACTTTATTTGGGCTGAAGGAAGAAATAATAATACCGAACCTCCAAACAACTGGGTCAGCCATTTTAAGGGACCTGCATGGACTTTTAGGAAGGAGAGAGGACTATGGTATCTTAATAAGTTTGCCCCCCAACAGCCTGACTTGAACTATAGAAATCCTAAGGTTGTGCAAGCCATGAAGGTATGTTTTTTATTATAATTTACCTTTCAACGAAATTAACTAACCTTTCAACAAAATTATTTACTTATAAGTATACCGTTTCAAAATCTATTTTATTTCTTTTTTAGGACGTCTTAAACTTCTGGATGGACCTTGGTGTAGATGGTTTCAGAGTAGATACAATTCCCGATTTGTTCGAGGTAGAAGATCTTCGTGATGAACCTCGTTCAGATGACGCGAGTGCCACTCCAAACGACTACGAATATTTGTCGCACATCTACACGCAAGATTTAGACGAAACTTATGACATGGTTTACCAATGGCGCGAATTGCTCGACGAGCATCAAAAGACAAACGGAGGTGACACCAGGGTGTTGATGACCGAAGTATACAGTGACTTCGAGAAAAATATTAAATATTATGGGTTGCCGGATGGTTCAAGAAGGGGGGCACATTTTTCCTTTAACTTTGAATTAATCGTAAAAGTCAACGAAGGATCTTCTTCAATGGATATCCTTACCATTATCGACAGGTGGGTCGACAATCTACCAGAAATATACACTCCCAATTGGGTGGTAAGTCATTTATAAAAAAACCTACCGTTCAACATTTCTCCATAGAGAACTTAAAAACTTGTCGACCTTAACTTTTAACATACATTTACTTTACCTACACCTTACCCATTTAAGCTTGGCAACCACGATCAGCACAGATACCCATCCAGGTTGGGTCCAGAGAACAGAGATTCCTTCATGATGCTTCAATCGATGTTACCTGGTGTTCAGGTGACTTATAACGGCGAAGAAATAGGCATGGAAGATGGCCAGGTTAGCTGTGACGAAGGTGCTGATCCACAGGCCATTAAAAATTGCAGTATTTTCGATGCTGTAAGCAGAGATTTTGAGCGTACGCCTTTTCAGTGGGACGAATCGGTAAATGCTGGATTTAATGATGGAGGTAGGACTTGGTTGCCTGTGAGTGATAAGTATTTGGAGAATAATTTGAAGAAGCAAAAAGAAGGAGTGAGGAGCTACTACAATACATTTAAGAGCCTTATAGACATAAGGAAAGAATTAACGTTAAAGGTGCCGACAAAAACAGCTTTACTAAAGGAGTCTGTAATGGCTATTTCTCGGCCCATCAATGATTGTAGGGCATATCATTTTCTTTACAATAGGCATGGTGATACAAAGGAGGTTGATATACCATATGGACTTGACGACTCAAAATATACGGTGGTGGCCAGCAAACTTACCTCTCAACATATCATAGGGTAAGTACTTTTAAAAATGTTTTTTGTGGTTTTTAACGTTTTTTGGTATTTTAGAGACGAAGTATCGCAGCAAATTAAATTGGATCCTAATGATTCATTGATTGTTAGGGAGACCTGTTAAAAGTTGAATTTAATTTATTTTTGTTTGAACTGTATATGATTTCATTAAAAGTATTATTAATTTACAATGTTTGTTCTTATCTTACGGGTAATTCCATTTATTAGCCACCAATGAGTGCACCTCATATACTCTAATTTTATTTCTTTTTTAACTGTAAATAGACATGGACCCAAGAAGTGAAAAAAACTCCCCTTTTCTTTTCTCCCCCTATCACCTATTTATACAGGGCTACGCAAAAGTTACTATGCAGACCTAACTTAAAAAAATTGTAATTTTTTTGCTAATAAAGCTATCGACATTAAACAAACTGTTAATTGTTAAGAAAATATTTCTCTTTTAAACCATATAGGACACATTTAGTTATTGATGCCCTAAATGGTCTTTGGGAATTTTTTTATAAATGCAATTTTTTGGCAAAATTGTCTAATTTTATAAATTCATATATTCTTAGAACAACTTGCCAGCAAAAATTTTTTAATGTAGTTTGTTACCATAGATCTTACTTTATATAAAAGCAATGAAAACATTTTCAAATGATATTGGCTAAGAGTTCAAAAAATATAATAAAAATCCATGTTTTCGAAAAATCACTATTTTCAGCCATTTCATGGTTTAAAAAGGCTATGTTTGAGTGAGTCGATTTAAACCAATTTATGCTTATCATCACATGCACTTATTAGCCTCCAATAACCATAAATAAAATTATTGTGTATTTTGCTTTTAACTGGGCTGTGGCTGTATGTACAGCCCAGCTATAAGCAAAATACACAATATGCCCACCTGACTTTCACCCATTTCATGGTTTAAAAAGGCTATGTTTGAGTGAGTCGATTTAAACCAATTTATGCTTATCATCACAGGCACTTATTGGTCTCCAATAATCATGAATAAAATTATTATGTATTTTTCTTTTAGCTGGGCTGTGGATGTATATGTCCACCTGTGACTATATCCATATTATTAACCATATATTTCGAAAAAGCGTATTGCATCTTTAAAATAACTTGACAGCCTTGAATTGACTTCTAATTCATTCTAAATAAAAATATAAAAACCACATACAGTGGCGTCGAAAATTAACTACCCATTTATTTATTTTTTAAATTAAGAAAACAATCAAATGTACAAAAATTAATTAAATGACTAAAAGACATACTTTTCATAAACTTTATATTTAAACAAAATAAAACAGGTATTAAATCCTAAATTTGAATTAAACCTAACTGCATATACTTAAACTGAAGAAATCATATTCTTAACTTTTACAATCACCTAAAAAACCTATTTACTATTTTTACCTCTAAAAAGTTATATGAATCTGAAAATTTTCTTATGTCTATAATGTCTATCAAGAGGAATAAATTAACGACTTATGGCCTTTAAATGGATCGCAGCAGACTTCACCAAAAATGTTGGTAAAATTATATAGATACTTTAATTTGTGATACCTACGTACAAATATCGGTTACAGTTGCATCCACTCGCCATTCTATTATTTGTTTTCCTCCTTAGTACAAGATTCAATCTTGGAAAATCGCGAAAAATATTTTTATCCGAAATCTGCCGAAAGTAGTCAACAATCGGCAGTAAAGTAAAAGAAATCGGCAGTAAACTAGAACTTTTAATAAAAGTTCTTTTAGGGATTGTAAAAGTTAAGAATATGATTTCTTCAGTTTAATTATATGCAGTTAGGTTTAATTCAAATTTAGGATTTAATACCTGTTTTATTTTGTTTAAATATAAAGTTTATGAAAAGTATGTCTTTTAGTCATTTAATTAATTTTTTGTACATTTGATTATGTTTTAAAAAATAAATAAATGGGTAGTTAATTTTCGACGCCACTGTATGTGGTTTTTATATTTTATATTTTTATTTAGAATGAATTAGAAGTCAATTCAAGGCTGTCAAGTTATTTTAAAGATGCAATACGCTTTTTCGAAATATATGGTTAATAATATTTGGTTAATAATATGGATATAGTCACAGGTGGACATATACATCCACAGCCCAGCTAAAAGAAAAATACATAATAATTTTATTCATGATTATTGGAGACCAATAAGTGCCTGAGATGATAAGCATAAATTAGTTTAAATCGACTCACTCAAACATAGCCTTTTTAAACCATAAAATGGCTGAAAGTCAGGTGGGCATATTGTGTATTTTGCTTATAGCTGGGCTGTACATACAGCCACAGCCCAGTTAAAAGCAAAATACACAATAATTTTATTAATGGTTATTGGAGGCTAATAAGTGCATGTGATGGTAAGCGTAAATTGGTTTAAATCGACTCACTCAAACATAGCCTTTTTAAACCATGAAATGGCTGAAATTAGTGATTTTTCGAAAACATAGATTTTTATTATATTTTTTTGAACTCTTAGCCAATATTATTTGAAAATGTTTTCATTGCTTTTATATAGAGTAAGATCTATGGTAACAAACTACATTAAAAAAATTTTGCTGGCAAGTTGTTCTAAGAATATATGAATTTATAAAATTAGACAATTTTGCCAAAAAATTGCATTTTTAAAAAAATTCCCTAAGACCATTTAAGGCATCAATAACTAAATGTGTCCTATATGGTTTAAAAGAGAAATATTTTCTTAACAATTAACAGTTTGTTTAGTGTCGATAGATTCATTAGCAATAAAGTACAATTTTTTTAAGTTAGGTCTGCATAGTAACTTTTGCGTAGCCCTGTATAAATAGGTGATAGGGGGAGAAAAGAAAAGGGGAGTTTTTTTCACTTCTTGGGTCCATGTCTATTTACAGGTTAAAAAGAAATAAAATTAGAGTATATGAGGTGCACTCATTGGTGGCTAATAAATGGAATTACCCTTACCTTTTATAGGATTTTTTGTCGGATAAGTAAAAGTCAAGATTCAAATAGTAGGTCTTTATTAAAAGACTGGCTGCTGATCAATTTTAATATGTAAATACATGCATTTACGGTACAAATATTGAAAAGCCTAGCTAGTTTTACACGTAATTTCGTACAAAAAACTAGTATCTACTGAATAAACCGTAAAAAGAAACTATTTACAATTCTGCCTTTGCTTGTTTTTAACAAAATATCAAAATTAATGATCAAGTTAATGTAAAAAGCCTTCTAGTTGATTGGTTGAAAAAAACAGTTGAAAATATCACAAGATTACATAATGATGATGTAAAAGACTTTCAGATTAGCTTATGCCAAGGTACAAAAAATTAAGAAACAAAACCGATTTAAAATCAATTGTTGTTTTTATTATAAATTAATTATAATAATATATTGTAATACTACCTTAATTATTCTTGAACTAAAATGAACATAACAGCATGTAAACAAACATTGCAGTTGGCATGATTAAAGGTAAGTTCGAAAAAACACGTTTTTAGGAGATAATTTTATTACCATACATTATTTGATTATTGTTCTACTAGTACAAAAAAAAAACGAAAATTGTTTAAATGCTGTTATAAAAAGTTTTAACCCATTATAAAGTGGGGAATGCAAAAAAGATATCTTATTATCGTTCTTCTAATATCACAGTCTCTTGTGGGTACAGTTTTAGTTCTTTTAGGGAGTGGCTTGTATCCAAAGCTGTTAACTGAATTATAAATCGAATTAGAATCATTTTAATTTCTTAGTTTATTAACTTACATCTACTCTAGGCCAGCCTGAAATAGCTTTATACTCTTCCGTTGGATACCCCTTAACTATTAGAAAATTTAACAAAACCTACAACAAAAATAATACAATTGTACATTAAAACCTTACCTTTTTATTTACCTTTAATGGTGTAGTGCCAAAAAATCTACGATCAACGTTTTCGCCGGTCGGAAACCTAAACCTGATCTTAGTAACATCACCATCCCCAACCTCCGGTTCCGGAGGTAAACTGGCTTCCGCTTTTTTGCGTTGCGCCTCCCTTTTCGCGTCCTCTTCCGCCTTTTGATTCTCTATCCTCTGCTTCGTTTCCGTCTCCAGCTGCTCTTGTTTCCTTTTCGCCTCTTCTTTGGCTCTATCGGCCTCCAAACTCTCCCGATACGCCATATCTTGCTCCCATTTTACAAGTTCTCTTTCCGCTCTTTCGGCCTCTTCCTTCACTTCTACGCGTTGATGTTCGCTAAACACCTCCACGCACTCTATCAAGCTCGAGAGGAGCTCATTCACGCCCACATTACCTAAACAGGGTGTGTTAAAAGGTAAGGTTTACAAGATTAAAGGTACGTTAAAACGTGTAGTTTTTGTTGAATACTAAAAATCACTGCACATCATTTAATGGCGGCCATTTTTGTTGTTTACATTCTTGTGCTTTGGGTTTGTACTAGGGTTTTAAAGTGTCAGAAAAAACCGGAAAAATTGTGAAAAAAACTTGTTTTTTTTTCAAGGCCTTGGAAAAATTGGCTTTTTTGGGAAAAATTGAATTTTTTTTTGGAAAATATTCGCATTTTAAAAAAATAGCAATCAACAACCTAACATTATTTTAATTTACAAAAATATCTTTACAGAAAATATAAATAAAACTAAACCTTAAATTGATTTAAGAAAATAAACGTAAACGTTATATATACTGTAGGTTGGGTAATTTTTGCAAAAAGGAGTCCATTGAAAATATTCAATTACAATTTAATAAATGATTTATGAAGTTAAATTACAAAATTATAATTTTATAAATCGAAGTGTTAAATAAAACGAAAGTTAATGTTAATAAACCACCGAATGTTTTTTTGCGAATATTCTTACTGAATTATAACAAAAGGAATAATTATTATAATCATAATATTAAGATTATACAGGGTGTTATGTAATTAATGTTATATATTAAAATGGGTTATAGGGTCCATAAAGAAGCACCTGAAACTTTTTTTTTCTAAATTCCAAAGTCTAAAAATAATTTATAATAACCTTTATCCTACCAAAAAGTACGCCACTGATCGACTAGGAACTTTAGGTTAATCTGGTGGATTTATTATGTTATGGTTGGTAACCAGTGTTTCCAAAATCTCTTAAAAAAGTTGACAAACATTGTTTAAATTTAGCTTAATTACAAAAATGACAAAATTAACAATGCAAATTGTCAATTTGGCGTTTTTATTAATTGTTGGGTATTTCATTTTTGTACTGAAGGTAAATTCAAACAAAATCTGCCAACTTTTATGACAGAATCTAGTGCATTTCTTTTAAATTTTAGGTTATGTTTTCAAATTGTAAATATCTTAGTGCTTTTGGATTTATTTACACAAATTAAATGTTTAAAGTGAACTGGTCCCAATTTCATCTGAGTAAACAGAGAAAAAAACAGATGAAATAATTAATTTTGTGGTTATGGATTTCAAATTTCAAAGGTACTAAATTTTCTAATCATTGCTTAAGCTAATAGCTGGATCAGTAAATAAATACAGAAGGGTATTAGAGCTTTAAGGGCATAAAACTTTTGTATTTATTGAGTTTTTATTTATTTTTTGCAAGAAAAATTTTTAGTAACAATTTTTTACATCTGGCAACACATAGCTACTTTGTTGGTTGGTATCTATGTACTCACAAAATACAGGTGTGCAGAGATAAACAAGTGTGTAACCAGTGGCGTATCACAAAAAATATAAAAAACTTCTAATGCATATTTTTTCTTTATCTTTGGAAAAATGTTTTTTTAAATATTTTTCCTTTATTCCTTATGTCAAAAGGTATTCAGTATTTTAATATATAACATTAATTACATAGCACCCTGTATATTCAGCGTCGGAAATTTACTTTTTCCTCGATATCAGTGTACGGATAGTATTCGTAAAAATTTATAAATTTTCCGAAAAATTGACTTTTGCATCTTTTCGTATTACCCTTTGAATAAAATGCAAGTCAATTTTTCAGAAAATTTCTCAATTTTTCCGTTTTTTCTGAAAAAAAACCGGTTTTTTTCCGCCGGCCCAATTTTTCCGGAAATTTTAAAACCCTAGTTTGTACAGATTAAAAATCGTTTTAAACGTTGTGTTTCTTACAGAGAGACTTGCAAGCCTTAAAAGAGACCTCAAAGTGGTAAGAACAATCATTTTACTCCTCTTTTGTAAAAAATAAACCAAGGCTGTCAAATGTCAATTTTATTTTATAACCCAAAAATTAACATTTGACAGCCCTGATAGAATAAGGTTTATTTTTTATAAAAGAGGAGTAAAATGATTGTTCTTACCACTTTGAGATCTCTTTTAAGGATTGCAAGTCTCTCTGTAAGAAACACAACGTTTAAAACGATTATTAATCTGTACAAACCCAAATTACAAGAATTGTAAACAACAAAAATGGCCGCCATTAAATGATGTGCAGTGTTGCAGTAATTTTTAGTACGAGATCGAACAGACCTTGTTGTGTGGATTGTGAATTTATTTAATTATAATTTAAACAGTTTTTAGGGTCTTAAATGCAACTTTAAAAAAGTTACCTTGGGTATTTATTCAAATACTTGAAATTTATTTTTTTAATAAATTTATTTAAAAAAGTGAACAAAACACTTATTAAACAATTATCATATCTTTTTTCTTTGGCATTTTGTTTTTATTACTTTTATCACTGCAATTATAACACAGCCCTACCATAGATTAAGAACATAAAACGACGATTTTGCGGCCAGTATACAATTGTGACAATATGGTCGTCTTTTAGACAATGCGCAGGATTAAACGAACGAATGAAACAAATTTTAAATTAAAAAAAATCACATTTTTAAATTATTAACTGTAAATTTTGTGTTTAAAAAAATCTACAAATATTTATTAAATTCGTAGAATGGAAATAAAGACTCTAAATTGAAGGCAGTAGTAGCGTTATCTATTAAGAAAATTATAGGTATACTTTTTTAAAATGTTATAATAGATCACCTTTAAAAAAAGCTGTTAAATATTTAATTGTAATTTATAAATATCATTGATATATATCTTTGCTTATAAATATCAATATATATCGTGATAAATATCATGTATATCGGTGATATATATCGGTCGAACCCTGACTCACAACCGAAGAACATTATTTTACCAATTTCAAAATTTGTTTTTTTTTTCATTTTCTATACCAAGGTATGTGCTTTTTTTCATTTTTTTTAAGACAGTATTTTAATGCAAGTTATTACTGGATAACCTATAATGTTATAAAAAATTTTGTTTAGAACGGATTTTCTAAAAGGGACGTAAAATCTCACAAAAATTGCTCCCTCTAAACTAAATCCTGGATCCGCCCCTGTGCTACTGGGGTGAGTTCCAATTTCAGTTCTTTTCTGCTACTGTCAGTAAAATAATTGACAGCACTGGCATTTCCTATGTATTTAGTTTTATAAAGGCCATTTTTGTAGCCACGTGCGAAGCTTGCGAGCGAGTGTTTAATTAAAACGAGTGTCTGAAAGTTTATATATACAACAAGTTGCATACTATAGTTAACGACGAACACAAAAAAGAATTTAAAGACAATTTAATTTGTTAATTTTTTTTTATTTGTTAAATATTTGAAATCTGACAACTGTCACCCCAATTTAACCTCACTTTTTCTTAGTTTAACTTAAGCCCGTGACTAAAATGCTCAAAAGCCACTGTTGATAAATTCAGCCTGTGACTAAAATGCCATAAAGTAAAAAACATGTTTGTAAATATGTAGACTTGGTTGAAAATACTTCAAATCTTTAAAATCTTTGAATAACTTGAAAAGCCTGTAACTTATTGGAAATATTTGAAAATCCTCAGAAAATCTATAGAAATCCTTAGAATGTCTTAATTTCTAAAAAATTCTTTGTTAATTCTAATAATCCATAGAAAACCTTTAAATGATCAGACAATTTATAGAAATATTTAGAAATCCTTAACAAAGATCATCTTAATCAAAGATTATCTTTGATCCTTAACCCTTTTACTGCGGCATTATCTCTGATTCGTGTCCGCTAAACTTTGATCAAAATAATTAAGGTTAATTTTATGTCAGTGTCAAGCTAGTTTCGTCTAATTTTTTATTAATGCAATATCTGTATTTTTCTACTCCTATTACGGAATATGACTGTTCTAGTATCAGTTTTTAATGTGGAATGACATATATTTCAGAATTAATTATTCTATCATAGGATGACGGAATGAACACTGGTGGCGACATCTCTGTGTTTAATATCTAACAAATTTTAGACCGACCCAACTTCACTTTCTCCCAATTAAATTATTGTTTTATGGTATTTTTTGGAATTTGCAAATTCCGCTCTCGTGAAACCGTCAAACTCGCCTTCGGCTCGTGTGACAAACTTTTCACTCGAGCGGAATATGCCGTATTCTAAACTTGTTACAGAATATACTACTATACATATAATAATATACTACTATAATATCGATGACTTTTTGCCAAAGTATCGCAAGTATCATAACTCAAATTTCGGGAATTGAAAACATTTTTTATTTTAAAGTCTGTTTTAAACCATATATAACATATGGGATTTATAACAAGTAAATAGCTATAATTATAAGCTATTTACTTGTTATAAAACTTTAGGCTATATTTAATTTGAAATAGACTTTAAGACAAAAAATGTTTTCAATTTCCGAAATTTGAGTTATGTTGCTTGCGATACTTTGGCAGAAAGTCATCGATATAATAATAATAATATTATTACGCGAGAGATAATGCAGGCTATTATTCACAAGGATGAGGTTTTCGTCACAAGCCGTCAGGCGTGAGAGTGAATAATGAGCAATATTTCAAGTGTAATACTATGCTTTTTATATTATAATTAAGTAATTTTCATTAATAACAAAATTTATTATAATCTTACGATTATTCCCGTTTTTAGGCGTGGCGGTTATATTGGCTACAATTATTAACGAAAAAAACACGAATAATGTCAATAATACATATTGCATTATTTTCAGAAAATAGGACGAAATAAGCTTGACACTGATATAAATGTAACCTTAATTAGTTCCATCAAAGTCACGTGGTGGGAGTTTTTGCAAGAGAAACGTGTATAATAATAATAATACACTGTATGTCAGAGTGCAGAGTTATTATTAGAACAAAATGTATGGTTAACAACCATTTAACTGTTCCAGGCGTATAAGTGGAACTCATTAAAAATTCTGTATATTTGTGCAATTATTAAATCTTAAATCCTAAATTCTTAAAATCATAGAAATCTTTGCTAACCTTTAGAATTCTTTATAAATATTAAAGTAAATTTTTTTGTAAATTCATAGACATATTTAGAAAGTATCTATTCTATCATCTTTTGGGGATCTTTAAAAAATCATAGAAAAAATTAAGAATAAGTTGAAAACCCTTGAAATTTTTTAAATAATAATAAAGTTTATAGATATTTTTGAAAATCCAGTAAAGTATTTAAAAATCTTTAAAAATTAAAAAAAAAAGTTTAATTTAGAAAAAAAACTAAAATAACACTATAAAAACTGAGAAAGGTAAGTAAGAAAGGTAAAGAACAAATCTTGAAAGGTTCATATAGAAAATCAAGCACTTACCGTGCACGACGCTGTAAATTTCAGTGATGGACCGGATTTTCATGAGAAGCACGACGGCAGGAAGCTTGTCGACTGCGATGTTTCTAAGACTCATGGCCGCCGTGGCGCCTAACACGTTCGTCACCGACGTTTGCAATTTGGTCCTGTTGGTTTCAAATGTGATGTCCCAGCCCCACAGGATGAAATTTTTTTCAATTATCTGCATCACGCTCTCGAATCCCAAAAGTTGCGTGCAAAAAACGTTGGTCAGCACGCTGGCGTCGTGGTGCAGGTAAATCGCAAGAATTTTACGCTAAAAAAATGGTGAGTATGCAGCTGTGTTGGACGGTAGGTGCACTTTTGAAAGGTGATGTTTTTTCATACTTACATCTTTGGCAGGTTTATTGCAGGCTTCTTTCATTGCGTCATCCAAAGTACCCTGATAGAAAGCAGGGTGAATATGTCCGTATCTTGCTGTAAATTGTTCTGTGAATGTAATGCTACCTACGATTTCGTCTTCAACATCCTCAGGTACTAAAAAAATTAAAATATAGCGAAAAAACTAAAAAACAATCAAAATAATTACTTAGCGGTTCTGTTCTTTTGGACGTGACATTATCGACGAAATAATCATCATCGACCGTAAAACTTTCCGATGCATCTTCAAACTCGTCATCGTCACTGTCCAATTGGATACAAGGCAGGGATTTTTTTGATGCCGCGTGGTTAATTTGATTATTTTTGTGCACCGTTAAATCATGTACTGGATAACTGTAAAAAACAAATGAAAAAACTTATCTCAATATCACCACTTATAACGGAGTGACCCTCAGGGGTTCAAACTGGGACTGTTAATATTTTTATGCGGTGTTAACGACTTTGGGGGTGAAAATAACATCAAATATCGATTTTAGGGTTTCTGAGGTTAGAAAATTTAAAACAATTTTTTGTTCATTGGGATTTTTTTATGCCACGTGGTTTATTTGAGTATTTTTGTGCACCCTTAAACCGTTAAGTGAAGAAGTAATTAATGCTTAAACCAAGTACTGTAAAAAAATAAAACGAATAAAAAAACTTGATATAAGAATGCCCGGATTTATATAATTTTCTACAAGTTTGTCCTTTACATTTTTTCAAAGAATCCAGTCACTTTTGAAATATCTTCAAAAATATAAATATTTAGTGACCTGTACCATCCCACAAGTGTAGATTACACCTATGGCACATAAAGCATTTTGTAGAACTTTTGATTACGAGTAAATCCATTTTTGAAACAATCCAATAGCATAAAATGCGGCTGATATAGATTTTAAAAAAAAAATAATCAAAGTTTACGTGTATTTTAAATGGGAAAACGCTTTGGTAGTGCACTTTGAGTTAATATTAACGGCAGGAAATTAATTTTTTTTACATTTTTAAAAAGATTTTGAGTTTGGAGCGAAAAAATAAAAATAGTCGTGAAAAAAAACACCCTAATATATAACATATTATGTATAAAATAACCAAATTTTTTATCAGGGTAAGCGGAAATTGTATTTTGCCTATAGGCGGCAAATTTGTTAATACGCCTCTGCCATTAGGGACTGTAAGCATTTTATATCGATAGTTGGCACTATAATTATTCGATATATGGTCACTTCACTATCGATAACTATTGATAGTTTTCATAGTCCGAGTAAATTATTAAAAAGAACAATCGATATCTCGTTTATAACTAACGATAGTTTTTGATAGTAGTAGAAAATTATTAAAAGAACAATAAATTAAAAAAACAACAATGTTTTTATTTATTTTTATGCAAAAATACAAACATATTGACTTTGATTACTAGCCCCATGAAATTCTTTTACTGTTTACCAAAGTAGTGGGGACGCAAAAATATTGTTTCGCTAATAAATTCAATGTTATTCCCTGTTATTTATAACAACAAATAAATTATCATTATTACTTTTGGCACCAAAAGAATACAGAGATTTGAAAGGTAGCGCATATAAACATATTGTAAAGAATACCTAAAAGTAAATTGCAGGAAGACTTACATGATAATTTTTTTTTTGTGAAAGCTTCAAGCAATAATTAAAACGGTTATAAAACTATCCAAAAATATCGATATTATTCGATAGTCAAAACCATCGATGTTAAATCATGTAACTGTAAAAAACAAAAACGAATAAAAAAACCGCACCTCGATTATGGTTTTAAAATCCCCGGAAAAATTAAACCGTCGCATTTTTTAATTTAATTCAAAGGGTAATACAAAAAAATGCAAGTCAATTTTTCTAAAAATTTACAAATGTTTACGGATAATGTAGGTTCTGGAACCAGTGGAACGATTTTGTTGCCGACTTTAAGATACATTATTTTCCGACAAATTATCTGACAGACTTGGAAGCTGAAATCAGCCGCCGGCTGCACCAGCTGCAAGAACCGATAACCGCATACATTACCGATATGCAAACCCTTATTCGCCGCCACGGCCACGAGAAAAATTGTCCGTCTTCGATTATAATCATAAAATATTATGATTATAATAATTATTCATGTTATTTTAATTTAGCAAGAATATGCTAAAGGGCCGCAAAAAACATATTTGGTGCTGTATTAGCATAACTACCGTTTTAGTTAATACCAGTGGCGTAACTACCGGGTCCCCAAGTACCAGGGGGCCCCCAGAATCGGCAAGAGATTTTTTTTTATCTAAATATAAGAAAAATGTGCAATATGAAAAAATTAAATTATTGTTTTTTTGTAGTAATAAATATTCGTTGCCTGCTTGATATTATATTTCTATTGTGTTCTTTTTTTCAAATTATTGAACTCAAAATTTGAAATTATAGGTTAATTGAAATTTGAAATTACAAATCTGGAATTATAAACTCGAAATTGAATTTTTCACATTGAAAGTATGAAATTTTGAATAGGATATTTACATTCTTAGTCAAAAATAGAAATTCACAGATGAAAAAATAAAAAGGAAAAATTTGCAATCTAAAATAAGAAATTTTCGACTTCACATTTACAATTTTGGATAAAAAAATCAAGATTCAAACTTCAAATTCGAAATCTTATTTATAATATAGCATAAATCAGTAGTACTATGTATAAATTAATATATGTTTGCAATAAGAAATATTGAGTGATGAATATTATTGTGTAAGGTGGGGGGGGTTGGAGTGGGAAAAGTGAAATAATTGTAATCCGACTGGGGCCCACATTTCTATAGTTACGCCACTGGTTAATACATTGAGTTATAATTTTATATTTAAACTTTATAAATTATTCCCAACCGACAGTATATTTAACGTATATGTTTATTTTCTCTAAATCAATTAAACTCAATTTTATATTTAGTTTTACTTTTTTTGTAATAAACAATATTTTTTTAAATTAAAATAATGTTAAGTTTTTGATTGCTACTTTTAATAAAATGTGTAGGTATATTTTTCAAAACAAAATCAATTTTTCCAAGGCCTGGGAAAAACAGTTTTTTCCGATTTTGTCGTTTTTTTCAACACTTTTAAACCCAAAACTTGATATCTAATATCTCATTAAGAATTTTAACTGAATAACACCCTGGACTCCTATGGGGTAAAATAAAGTGTTGCATATTGAATTTAGCATTTATTTTTATTATACCCGAATTTTTTTTAGGCTGCCCGGTTTATTTGAGTAATTTTTAACACCTGTAAAAAATAAATAAAAAAAAATGCAACTCAATGTAGACTTTTAACAAAGTGTTTTTATGCAATATTGGGGATTTTAAATTTAACACAATTTTATGTGTAGTCAGGGTTCCCTCTTTTAAAACCATTTAAAATTCCCTGACTTTTCCAGGTTTTCCCTGACCAAAGTCCCTATAATTCCAGATAAATAAAAGAAAGACATAAAGACAATTATCTCCCAAAATAGTGTCCCATCAGAATTATGTTAAGTCAAAAATTATATATATAATATTTTTGTTAATATTTATTTAAAAATTAAATATTATAATAAAAATTAAAATAAAATTTTAATAAAAACAGTTTAACATAAAATAGATTCTTTGGTACAAACATAAAAAACATTCTTTGGTATACATTTATACAAATATACCATATTCAACAAAGCAATTCACAACAAACTTTAACAATTTAAAATTAATTATGACAATTGTTTTAATTATTGTTAATTGTTAGTTTGTTTATCAGGTGCATTGCTTTGCGATTTTTTAGTGTGTAAAATTTTTTTGTGTAAAATCCTTGATAATTACCGCCGTTACGGCGGCGCCGTACGAAAACAATTGTTTACGATACCAGTGTTGCCAATACGGCGACTTTCAACGAAAAAGGGTCAGAAAACAAGCCGTTTTATAAATTTCCCTGACTTTTACCATAATATTAACCCCTTCAGACCTGGTGCACATTTAGATGTACATTAGCTTTTTAGTAATTTATTTACTATCAATAGGCATTAAATTTCATTTGGAACCTAGTTTTCACCCCCAAGTACATTTGTTTTGGTAAACTAAGGTACATTTTGCGACTTCTCTTACTTGAACTGCCCCTTTTGATTGAAAATTCTCTCATATAATGGAGATGCGCATAATGACAGCAACAACTCGTTGACGACAGTTTGTCTTAGCGGGTCTTTGGATGATTTGTAAAGATATTTTTTAAGTATAAACTGGTGTAGTTTGTTCCTAAAGGAATGTACTAAGACATGTAAAAACTATTTTGGTATTATCCACACATAAACCGAATAAAACATTCAATGTACATGCACGTGAACATCCTGAAATTATCCTGAAATTTTACAATTAAGATTTTTTAGCATTAAATATGGGTTATTTAGGTCCGAACTCAATAGATTTAAGAGCCATTTATTTTTTTTACCGTAGTAAAATAATTCAGGTCTGAAGGGGTTAACAAATTCCCTGACTTTTGCGCTGACTTTCAAAATTCCCTGACTTTTCCCTGATTTTATTGGACTTAAACGGATTCCCTGACTATTCCAGGTTTTCAAGGATTTCCAGGTGAGAGGGAACCCTGGTAGTGTAGTTTTTGACTTACTCTATTCCTGATAGCGCCAACATGGTTTGGTCATCTATATTGGGTGGCCATCCCGTCCATAACTGGTTACGACAAGGCAAATTTGACACAGAATAAAAGTCGGTTTTAACGTCCAAAATCGTTTTAGTACCCTTGTAGTTCAGGTTGTATGTTTTGCTTTCAAATTTGATGTTTAATGTGTAGTTTCCATTTAGTTTCTCGGTCATCTCATTGCTTAAATAAAATAAAATATAGTTTGTTTTTTTCATTTATTTAAAACCTAAAAACATACTCTTCATCAGCACTAAATCCGCCCTCGTGGGGTTTAACAGTTAAAACTAATTTATTTTCATCTCCCAACATAAGTTTAGTAAATGGTGTATTTTCATACTCCTGTATTCTAGCCCATGATGATAATAACTGACGACAGGGTGGGACTTTGAATTTTTGGTGCAATTGTATCTTTAAATCACCTAAAACAAACATTTAGTAAAAATTGTTGACAAACATACATTTTCTATACTAATTGTTCCATTATCTGGTAAATCCACATTAATAGTCTTATCACAATATTGAACAATGAATTTCAACATCCTAGCACTTGATGTAGAAGGCATGTTATTCTCCATGGGGACATTATTATCATTGTTTGTTATTTTCTTTGTGGCTATTCCAATATTATTTCCTACTTCCATCATATCTGAAGCAGTTTCAACAGGAATAGCAGCCAAATCTGAATCATCTTCAACCACCATCACATCAGGCTCATTACGAACCTGAAATGACTGGCTGTCAGGGGGCATCACCCTACTCACTGCTCTCTGAGAAAAAAGAAAGATTATGTATAGCAAAAAGTATGAATTTAGTGTATTATACGGCGTAGGTACTTTAAAAGGTAAGTTTGTCTACTAGTAGGTAATCTGATTATAAAGAAATGTTATTTATATTGTAGGTACTTAAGGTCTTTTACTGAAAATAAAATAAGTTGAAAGGTACAATGGAAATTCAAAAAGTAAAGTTATAATTCATTTACCGTTTCATTTTAAAAGTACATTTAATATAATATTAAGGTTGGCAGCTTAAATATTTAAGTACACATTAAAAGTTGAAGCGAGTTAAAATGTTACATTTAAAAGTATGTTGTAAGGTAAGGTGTCATTATGAAAAGTAAGTTGTTTTTTTGAAAGGTAAGTATACCTAATTACAGCCCTTTGAGAACAAAGAAATGTTATTTATAAGTTAAGGTCTTTCACTGAACTATAGATTAACAATAGGTAATTAAATTGAGGTTTATCAATACATTTTCACATAAATATCGTTAATGTTTACTATTACTCATGTTAACAGGCCATATGAGAAAATATATTCTTGGCAATTAACACTTAACAAAGGAATTAAAACAAAGTATTCTAAAAGTTGTATACTTACAAGTAGGTCCCAATTGGTTTCATCTAGATGAAAAATAGCTTCAGCAACATCTTCAATACCAGTGCAGGCCTGTAAACAAAAAAATCGCGACCAAAATTAAATGTCACTCTCTTATAACCTGGCAAAACATTGCAGCTTCATTGGTGGGCAACTATCGTTTGTCCTTTGAATGAATTACCTGAAAATCAGCCAAAATTTCCTCCCTGTTTTCGGACATAATCGTAACACGTTTCACAATTCGACTTCGTAGAGATTCTTGTGCAAATTTCGTCTAACAGAAAACTTGATGTCAGAAAGTCTGTCAGTACAAAACATTCAGCACTGCGCGTGCGTTGTCGTTTATGCCAACAATTTTTAACTACTTTATTTAATCAATTTAACTTATTATTATTTCACAACAAAAATAAACATAAAAACTGTTCAATATTTTAATAATTATATAAATTAAATAATTAAATCGCTTTCAAGTGATAAAGCAAAAATCATTAAATTAGTAGGTGCAATGTCCCAAAACTGTTTTATAAAATTTAATGTCCTATAAACGTGAATATAAATTGTACACCCAGCTGTTTTTAAATTGTTTTAACTTTAACAGCTGTCTAATTTTCATTTTAATAATAATATTCTCTATAGAGTTTAGAGTTTTTGTTTGTGGTACAATTTTATATGGTTAATTCCTAAATATTGGCAACCGTGATTTAGTTCCTATGTCCGAAAACTGTTTATCTGTCATTTTCGACTGTCACAATTCCAAACAAATGTTTTTTGGTTTGTTGGAAATAAAAATATCTCCTAAACAAATCTGCGACATTGTAAGCATTAAAACCAATAAATATTCTCCAATTTTAACTAATTATTTTGTAGATTTTGGCTTTCTTAGTGGTTGCATCATGGTATCATGTTATGATACTTGAAAAGCATCTAGTGAAGAATTAAACATGCCTTTTACCGCAGATGCTATAGCAGCACAACAAGTGCAAGACAGGCTTAAAGTCCTGATTTCCATAGTGCAAGAAATAGAGAAAAAAAGGGTAACATGTGAACATGGGGTCAGTTCTATACACAAATTTCAGGCAGCTCAGGAAGAAAAGACTGGACATTATCAGGTATGACAAAAACATACAGGAAAAGACTATTTTCTGAAGTTTCAAAGAAATATTGTGTTATTTCCCTGTATTTTTTAGATGAAGTTAAAATCTTTGTGTAAAACAGCAATAACCCAAGCTGAGCAAGAAGAGGAAACTATAAGAAAAGCCTTACAGAAAATTACTGAGATTAGAAATATAAAAAATGAAAGAAGAATACAGGTAATTACTTAATTTAGGTTTTAAGGTTTTTATGCCTTTTGTTTCTTTTTTTAATTGAAAAGTTTTTTGTTAAAGAAAAATGTTAAAATTACTTTTTTGTAGAGTTTATTTAAAAACAAATGTCATATTTGGTCATTTTTTAAAGCAATATTCTATCTTATAAGTTATTCAAGTACCTACAAAAGGAAAATCTATAAACAGTACCTTGGATTCCCTGATCCTTCTCTAAAAAAAGAAATTAACCTATTAAAGTCAATAAAACAAATGAAAACTCACTAAAAAAACAACCAATAAATAGTGGTAAATTTTTTTATTCCGAAATAAAAAAAACCAAGTAGGTACAAACCTCACCTCATCAAAGCATATATTTACAAAACTTCTAAAACATTAATTCCTGGCTAAAGAAAACCCACAATTTAATAAACAAAACAAAACTTTTACACCATCTTACATTGGTGCAACTCAAACTTTGATTCCAACATCAATTTCGAAAACCAAACAATTGAGGAAGAAAATTATTTTATCTATTTTGCGTTCATAATGATTTCATTGTAACACTGCTTTCGGTGCTGTAATGAGGTATAAAATCAAAATTTTGGGTGGGGTAAAGTATACTTTACCCAACCCAAAATTTTGATTTTATAGGTTGGCTACTTCAAACATCATACAATAAGTAAATTAAGGACGCCATGGCGAATAGATTTTGACATTAACCCTTCAAACCAATGACTAAGGTATAAAGTAGCATAAAGAACTCATGTCATAAGACCTTTTGTCGCACTCGTCCATTACAAAACTTGCTCCTTCGTCGCTCGTTTTATAAATTGTCCTCGTGCGACAAAATGACGTCTTATGACATTAGTTCTTTAATATACTATTAACACTTTGACTGCCGTGTGTATTGCTAGCGATACACCGTACAGGCACGTTCTAATCATTAGATCTCACCTTCCCATTAGTTTGTTATTGCATTTCACAAGGTCTGGCCTGTGGTAAGGCACTAGCATATAGAACTTTGGCCTAGGGTAATCATAATAATCAACTACATCCTCTCACCTGTCATATCAAACATTTAAACAGCCAGATTAAATAACTTGTCCTCCACAGCTCTGTTTGCTCTGTTTCTGGGTATTAAGAGAGCATTTGACAAAAGGGTTTTGATAACTCGCTTATTAACTTAGTTAAGAATTATCTGAAAACAGACCTCTATGTGTATCTCAAGGGCCAAAAATCTGTTCCTTTCATTTCCAAACAAGGGGTTCTACAGGGTTTTTAACTATCTTCACTATTATACAACATATTTTGCTTTAATATGAAACAGTCAGACAACCAAATATTCCTGCCAAAGGGCTCCCTGTAAGCTATATGAAGACGACAAATCTCTTTTTGTCCATCAAAAATCACACCAGCTGGCCCTAGAGAAATTGAAAAAAGTTTTCAACCTCAACAAATGGCTCATGGATGGATACTTGATATTAAAGCTAGCAAATCCAAATTTATAATTTTCCACAGTAACACAGTGAACAACCAGCCATTCACAATTAACAACCAGTTTAATCAGTCAAGTACCTAGGAGTCCAGATTGACAATAAAACAAGCCTTAAAGAACACGCCAGAGCCAGCCAGTTTAGATATCTTCCTTATGCTCCTACCCTGTTCCTAAACTCCAGAAAATCCTCTTTAAATATCCTTAATGTAGCTGAAACCGCCTTAATGCGCAAAATCACCAAAATGAGACTCCCTGGAAATCCACTACATATTATGTAGTACATAACTTTCCTAACACGCTACTATACAATAGAGTGACTAAGCTTGCTGCCAACATTTTCTTAAGTGAAGCCACCAATCAATTTCTGATCCCAGTAACGCTTCCACGAGATCATCAAGTGCAAACTTGACTGGAGTCACTCAATAATTATTTATAATGAAAGAACTACAAATTCTTTGTCCTTATGTTCTGTGGTTCAGAATGACCAATTTACTTATTAATGGAAAATTGTTTTTTTTTGCATTAACTTTAAATGTGACGTTTACTTTCTAATACTATTACTTAAGTACATATTAGCTTTAATTTACCGTGGCTAAAGGATCTAGGTCCTTTTGATTGTTGTATTGTATCTTATGATGATCAATAAATAGTATGTTTTATTATTATTAAAAATGTTATTAAATATTTTTTGTTCTTATTAAAAAACGTCTTATTTGGTCAATGTTTTAGTTTCTGGTTGAAAAACTAAAAAAATTTCTTTGGTCTTTCTTTACAGTCTTGATTTTTTGAATGTTTGTAGATTTGTCTTGGAATGCCCCAATTATTTTCTTTAAATTGTCCTTTATCTTTAATCAATTAATTAAATAATGGATTAATGTAAAATTTGTATTTATTTTCTTTTTTATTACTATTATTATTATAAAATTTATAATAGCTCCGGTCGTTTAAGCAAGCTGCATCACAAATGACCGTCATTTTGATCAACCGTTTTTTTTTGTGCAAATTTCTACGTGTTTGTTCGAATGTAGGTAGGCTACCCAAATATTTGTAAACTTTGTTGTTCAACAAGATCGAATAAAAATTGTCAAAATGACATCAGTATGTCCACTGATGGGGTTGGAGGCAAAAAGTAAATGCATTTTTTGGAGAATTTTATTCCTGATGGAGGTTTTTACTTAAATTCAAACCCGGAATATGCGACGCATCATTTTTGTTGTCTATGGGGTTAGTTTACAATTTTGATTTTTCTGAAAATTTTTGCGAGTTGGCCGTCGACAGTAGGGGTGATGTTTCGCATATTCTGAGATTTTAAAGTCAGGCAAGGACTTGTCAGTAATTACATTTTCTGAGAAATGTAAAATATTTTTTATTCCTCTTTGTAACCCCATCCGTGGACATACTGTATAAAACCTCGCGTTTCAACATTGGAAGTAACGGTGATTTCCGTAAATATGGGTATGTTCCGGCAGGAGTGCAAACTATCTAGAACGACCCAGTCCTTTTGGACAGTTAGGGACTCTAGTAGAATAAAACCTTTTTTAGGTTAATTTTTATATTTAATTTATTGAAAATAATATATATTTATGGATCATCATAAATTACAATCCAACAATCAAAAGGCCATTGACCTAGGTCCTACAGCCATGGTAAATTAATATGTAATATGGTCCACACCAGGAGCGTGCTGGCCACCGGGCGACCGGGTATTTTCCGGTGGGCCCTCATAAATTGGCCACAAGAGGCCCCACGACCCCGACGCGCGATAAATTTAAGTTAGCTGTTATTAGCAGGAACTTGTAACAAAACCTCGTTTAGAAATGAAACTCCGTTTCTGGCGTTATTCTTCCGAGTAACATAAAAAAGATTAACACAATCAGAAACGGAACTTCGGAAATCGTTTCTAACAAGTAACAGAAGGGTAACAAAACTAGCAAAACTCTAAGCAGAACCGAAACACTGGGTATGGAAACTAAACCAGCAACGCCACCTGAGTAACGAATTCGTAACAAAGCCTCTTGGTAGATAAACTAAACTATCGAAATTGTAAACTAACCGCATGAAATAAAAAGAAAACTATTACCTAGTAACGTTTTTGTCGATAAATAAATGAAGCATCGTACTTAAAAAATACCGTTATAATTTTGTTACCGCAAGAAATATATTCTTATATGCAGATATCTGCCTGACATGGTCATCGGGTATGCCTAATTAATTCACTTTGCTGCGTGAGTGATTTACTAGCGCATCTATACCTGTGCGACTTACTCGTGCGCTTACTCGCGAGTTTTACCCGCGCGACTACCCTGCGGCTTTGTTGTGCATTTTGTGTAAGTTTTTAAAAATTCACCGTTTGGTTACAGTATCGTTACTCAGTTGGTGTTACCAGTTTTGTTTTAATATCCTGTATTTCGGTAGTTGTTGCGCACCTGCGATTTTCGTTATTAACAGTTTCTATTACAATTTTTTAACCGTTATCAAGATTTAGTTACTTGTTTTGGTACTATTTAGTATTTTTTCTTAAAGTTTCATTATCATTTTCAGGGGCGCATGTTTTAATTCAATTTAGTTTCATCCTTACATGAAAAACTATACCCGGTATCAAATACCCTAACAGAAACGCGTTACTAGTGAGTAGTGACTGTCCCAGCACGAGACGTAAAATTTGAATAACACAAACACAACACCCTCATTAGTTCCCCAACCCTTTTTCTAAATGACATAAAATTTAAGGCGTGGGAGGGCCCTGTAAAGAAATTATTTCCCGGATCCTAAAATCACCCCAGCACGCGCCTGGTCCACACCCAAGTCCCTCGACGTGATACAAACAATCAAGGTGCCAGTGTGAAGCCAATTTCGTCCCAATTTCTGAAAACAATGCAATAAATGTACCTTTAGTGTATAAACTTTATACTATAAAGCGCTTAATTTAAAACACAAAAATACATATATTGCATTGCATTTATTATTTTTAATTGTTTTTTATAGGCTCGCCATGTATGTAGTAAAGAGTCAATTCGAAGAGGAACGTGGATGAAAATGTTGTGGAGCTCGGCACGTACTTTACCTCTATTTGTCAGCAAACCAGGGGAATCACCGCCACCTCTATGCGGAGCCATTCCAGCCGATCCAAATTATATCGCAAAAGTAAGTTTTTTCTTCGGTGGAAAACTTTTACTAGTGATTTTTTTTTAGATTGGGGATATGGTGGCAGCCTTGGTTAAGGGAGACGATAATGAAGATAACTGTATTCTAGCTGAAGTAGTGGGTTTCAATAATCAAACAAATAAGTATGAGGTTGATGATATTTTAAAGGAGCAAAATCAAAAGGGAAGGCATACATTAAGTAAAAGAAAAGTTATACCTTTGCCTTTAATGAGGGCTAACCCGGAAACCGATTCTGGGGCGTTATTTCCTCAAGGAACGTTGGGTAAGTGCCGCAGGGATCCAAACTGGGACCGTTTTAGTTTTGAGGCTGTACTAACGACTTCAGTGGCGTATTTAGGTCGATTTTATTTTTGGGGTTAAGATATTCAAATTTGATGTTAGTTTTTGTTTTTATTTTCTAGTTATGGGTCTTTTTCCACAAACAACGTGTTTTTACAACGCCCTAGTGAATAAACCACCAGCCACTCATACAGATGAATATGAAGTTTTATTTGAAGACAAAACTTACCCTGGGGGGTACAGCCCCCCACTTTGTGTCGCACAACGGTACATTATCGCTATTAAACAAAAAAAATAACGATTTAGGTACATTGCCCTCAAAAGTATGTGAGAAAAGGTTTTTTTAATAATTGTGAATTTTTTATAGTTAGGTACTACCTTTTTTAAGTTGAAACAGCAGTATTTTTTAGGATTTTTGACTAAATATTAAATAAAAAAATAAACTACTATAAATTATTTGTTGTGTTTATTATTTAATGTACAATGCAATAATTTTTTTACATTTTTTTTTAATTAATATTTTCTAAATACTTTTTTAAGTGAATTAAATGAATTAAATTAAAAAAACGGAACCCTTCTACATGCTGAAGAAACCTGCAACTCGTTGCAACATTAAAAGTATTATAAAACGAAAATATTTGTTTTTTTCTTGCAAAAAACGACATTTTTTTTAATTGTCAATTATGTTAAAACACTCATACATCATAATGAACATTCACCAGATCATTCGATCAAATATTTATCATTATAATTAACTTATGGACTAAATTTAGGGTTTTCATACTCTCTAAGGAAATATCATCACTGTTTTTCTTTCATTAGTATAAATTTGGTTTGGTTTGTGGGATAAAAGTCTTTTTTTTTTCAACGGTTTTTTCTTTTGGGTGATATATTTTTTTATTGGAAGTGACTTGAAATTTTTGGGTGGGTGTTAAAATTAAAAAAGAAAATGTGTAATATGAGGTTTCCTTACAATTTACCTCTCTCATCAGTAGGGCGCAAAATATCCACCTCGTCTGTAACTCCTAAAATTGCAGAGATCAGTTCGTTAAAAACACGATTTTTTTGTCAAACAAAAAAGAAACAACATAAGGAAATCTAAACAAAAAAAATACTTTAAAAAATCCTAGACTTTCTAAATTATTTTTAAATACAACAAAATTATAAAAAAATGCAGACAAATATAGAGAAAATAGTAAATAAGTTAGTTATCAGTCATTTCAAGCATATGGATGGGACAAATCACAAAACTGTTTTTATAAAAAAAAAATTGGTAATATATTATATATTATTTTTGCATCAAAATTGTCAAATATATTCTTCCTTTATTAGGCTATTCATTAAATAAAAAAAACGCAAATATTTTATAAAAGCAGAGATAATATTAAATAATTGACAGGTGTGGACAGGACAAGATAAATCTTTTTTTTTTGTCCTGTCCAATTATAAATATTAGCTTTACTTTTATAAATTATTTCTTGCGTTTTTTTATTTAAAGCGAGGGGTCACCCACACCTGGGAATCCCTGGACATTTTAGAGGGGGAATACCATAGGAATACAATGGAAATACATAGGAATACAATAAAATATAATGGGAATACATGGGAATCCCTGGACGTTTTCCCTTTGGGGATTTAAGTATAGCCTCATAAAAAAAGAATATTTTTGACAATTTTGATGCCAAAATTTAAATAATAAATTATCTAGTTTTTTTTTATAAAAACAGTTTTGTAATTCGTGCGTTTCGCGCGCTTGAAATGGCCGTTATGTAGAAAAAATTTTTATGTTTAATTTTTTTTTAATTATAAAAATGAATCTCCTTTTTAAAAATTATACATGGTGAGTCAGGAGGAACGGACCAAACTTCAGGAGTGTATTATACACATGAAAATAGTGTAAAAAACTCACATGTTCTTATCCGATTTTTATTTGTTCAAATTATAGCGTAAAACAAAAGTTCATACATTAACGTTATTTTAATCATAGCGTTCTTTTAATAAATGTTCGAAAATAAAGCCATTGACCTCATTTTGTGCTTTGTCTACGAAGAGTGCCTGTTGCTCTCCTAATTGATTGACGTCTTCTTTAATAACGGCTGCAGTATTTTGAATACGTTGAATTAGGGCATCACGTGTGTCCACTTTTACTTTATACACCTCATTTTTAAACCAGCTCCATAAACAATAGTCTAGTGGTGTGAGGTCTGGGGATCTTGGAGGCCAATTAATAGGACCACCGCGACCAATGTTGCTTAACCTGACGGGCAAACTGTGCAGGAGCTCCATTGTGCTGGTAGTACATTTGCATTCTGATGTTTGGAGTAACATCCTCTAGTAGTCCTTGTAACTTAATTTGTAGAAAATTTAAGTAGTTGTCTCCTGTGAGGCGATTTTCCAATATGAAAGGACCACTTAAATAATTATCGAGCATACAACACCTGGTGTGGCACACCAACGTTTACAGAATACTTACGTTGAAAATTACTTTCGACTGTTGCGTGGGGATTTTCGTCTGACCATACATGAGAGTTATTAATACCGTCACTAGTAAATGTTGCTTCATCCGTAAAAAGTATATGCGATACAACACAATGATTATTATTTATCCCCCGACAAAAGTCCATACGTTTAGCATAATCTTCAGGTTGTAAGTGTTGTTCTTTCTGTACATGGTATGGATGCAAGCCTTGTTTGTGGAGGGTGTTTATTACTCTTTTTTGTGGGATGGCCAATTGGGTAGCTATTCCTCTACTAAATCCAGAATATTTTCTACTTCTTCTAAACCTTGTCGAGTAGCTCGTTCAGATAATATTATTATGCTAGCACTAGGAAGCTTACCGGTCTCGCACAAAAACTCTGATAAATACGTTTTTATTAGGATGTCTTTGATCTGGAAACCATTGACGATATTCTTCAACAGCAGCTGTAGCATTTCCATTACAGAAACCATAAACCAACATCATATTTGCATATTCTAAATTTGAATAAGTGTTTGGCATTTTTTAAATCATACAAATTCGGAAATGTCACAATAAATTGACACACTATCAAAACAACAAAGTCATTAAATATTTTTGAGCCTCAAACATGGCATACTCTGATTACGCTATAATTTGAAAACAAATAAAAATCGGATAAGAACATATAAGTTTTTTTACATTATTTTCATGTGTATAATATACTCCTGAAGTTTGGTCCATTCCTCCCGACTCAACCTGTATAATATAGAGTTCTTTTGAAAAGAAACAATTAAAATAACAAAAATTAATGGTTTCTTTATTAATAAATTAAGAATGTTACTTTTTTGTAAAGATATATTAAAAACAAAAAACTTATTTGGTCACCTTTTTGAAATTATTATTAATTTAATATTTATTATTTGTGGTTTTTGTTATAAATATAATTTTTGATAAAAAATACATTTTGGTCACCTTTTTGAAATTAATATCAATTTAATATTTATTATTTGTGGTTTTTGTTATAAATATAATTTTTGATAAAAAATACATTTTGGTACTTCTCTAACTTTGCCTGTTTAGAAATATTAAAAACAAAAAAGGGTAATTTCCTATAAAACAATAAAATAAAACTAAAAAAAGAATCTACTACATGATAATACTACATTTTACAATTATTATTATTCTCAGTCACAACATTAAAATCATCAACATAATTCATATGTATATTGTTTCAATTTTGTAAAACAAACATAAAAATAAATAAATTACCTGGGCCTACGAGTAGGTCTAAAACCTGCATAAAAACCACGCCCAGCTCCTCTAGCTCCCCTAAAAGTTCCCCTGCCTCTAGGTGGTCTGTTTGTAGTCGACACTCCTGGCCTGTTTGTCCTCTTAGGCATAACCTAAAATAATTTATCTGTTGGAAAAAATGTTTTTTTTCAATGGAAAACTATTGAAGGCTTTTTCCCTAATGAGAGCAAATCGAAAAACCGATTCTAAAGCCCTATTTTCTCAATAAACCATTATAGTTTTTAAAGTTCATCACTAACAACATTGGGATAAAAAAGAACATGCTATATTGATTTTATGGTTTTTGGGGTCAAGGAATTAAAATTTAATATTAGTTTTAGTGTATTGGGTTTAAAATTACGCTAATTTGTAAAATAAACTCCAGAAACCAATTCTGGAGCCTAAGCTTCCAAATGAACATTAATTACCGCAAGTTTCCAAACTGGGACTGTTATAATTTACATGGGTCACTAACAACTTTGTATGTTAATTTTAGAGTTAGAATTTTAAATTTAATATTAAAATAAGCATAAAATGTTATATTTTAAATTTAAAGTAATTACCTTAATTTGTCTTCCTCTAAACAGAGACTCATCCATAGCCATGGCTGTTTGTACGTAATCCCTATCTCCAAATTCAATATAAGCAAAACCCTTTGGATGTCCATCATATTTATTACACAGTATTGTAACTCTGTTAATTGCACCGCAACCATGGAAATGTTGCTCTAACTCTTCCGCAGTGGCACCATAATCCACATTACCTACATAAATACTCCGATTGTCAGCCTCCATCTTGTCTTCCAATGACATATTTAAAGGACTTGCTAAAATATAAAAATTATAAACATTTTCAAAATATTTTTAAAAAACTTACTTAGGCCTGGAGGGCTGCCCATGTTCATTTGTTTATCGACTTCACTTTGAAGTTGTTTCAATTTTTCGGCCTCCTCCTCCATTTCGCGCACTCGAGCTTTAATTTGCTCCAATTCGGGGTCATTTTCCCCAACCCCATCTCCATCAGTATCGTTGAGCAAATTCTCATCATGCATACCATTTGTATCATCATAAGAATCTAACTGATCGTCACCTAACCCTAAATCCTCATTATCTGCCATGGCTGCAATAAACCAGAAAAAATTAACGATTGTAACCCCACTTTTAAGGTTGATTTGGCACACTTCAAATTTGAATTACATTGGCGCAATTACATCGAAAAATCAAACTAAATCATCACGCATCGTTAAAAATTAATCGATAACATTAAAAATACCCTAAAATAACAACAATTAATGCCAGTTTAGATAAAGCGTCGGTAAATAAAAAATATGGTTCTGTAATGTTTACAATCGTAGAAAGTCAAAACGTTTAAGATAAAAGATGTACAAAAAACTTACCTGCAGTATATTTTACAGTAATTTAATTTAAATAGCTGGATTTTATACAATTGGACGATTCAAATTGGATAAAATAGCCGGTTTATTGTATGGCGCGCTATAGAATATGGCGGAAGAATAAATATGGTGGTTTTAAGTGTTGCCAACGTAACCGATACCAACTTAAATAATTAAAGTTACCAGATTTCGAAAAATCCTTAAGCCTGATTTATAGATTGTCTTCCTTCCTTCCCCCCTTTCTCCCGTAAAAGATGAACAATACGAAAACCGTATGCCGTTTATAGATTCCCGTACGGAATTGTATTGTTCATCTTCTACGGGAGGAAGGAAGGAAGGCAATCTATAAATCAGGCTTTAGACTTGTTGGATTATTCGTATTCCACATTTAATTGCGAATATGATAATTTATTTTGCGAATACCTATATCATTTGATTTTGAGAATAATCAAATGATATTGCGATTTTATTAATAATTAATTGAAAAAAGTATTAAGTACATTCAAATTAAAGTACTCCCTATTAAAAATGCCCTATAGAACCCATATTGATCCAGATAAGGAAACTAATATGGATTTATATGGTTCTATATGTCCTATATGGAACGACCTGGTTTACACTTTGGAATCTATATGGTTTAATATGGAATTTCATTTTAAAATGTACAACTTAGGGATTTTTATATGGATTTATCTGGTTTCTGTTTTATGTGTCTTTCCATATAGGTTTCCCTATATGGTTGAATATGGAATTCCATTTTAAAATGTATATATATTTAAACGAAAATTGCATATTAAACCATATAGATTCCCCTATATGGTTAAATATGGATCTATATGGTAATAATTTTTTCACACCCAAACCACATTGGACCAGATAGAGCAATATGAACCTATATGGCAATCCATATAGAAATCACTTTTCTATATGGTTTTCCAGGTATGAAATTCTATCTGGTTCAATAGTGCAATGCCTGTTTCAAATTCCTATATTGAACCAGATAGATTTTTATTTTGTGTTTCTATATGGCATTTTTAATAGGGCTTCCCTATTAAAAATGCCCTATAGAACCCATATATGGATCCAGATAAGGAAACTAATATGGATTTATATGGTTCTATATATCCTATATGGAACGACCTGGTTTACACTTTGGAATCTATATGGTTTAATATGGAATTTCATTTTAAAATGTACAACTTAGGGATTTTTATATGGATTTATCTGGTTTCTGTTTTATGTGTTTTTCCATATAGGTTTCCCTATATGGTTGAATATGGAATTCCATTTTAAAATGTATATATATTTAAACGAAAATTGCATATTAAACCATATAGATTACCCTATATGGTTAAATATGGATCTATATGGTAATAATTTTTTCACACCCAAACCATATTGGGCCAGATAGAGCAATATGAACCTATATGGCAATCCATATAGAAATCACTTTTCTATATGGTTTTCCAGGTATGGAATTCTATCTGGTTCAATAGTGCAATGCCTGTTTCAAATTCCTATATTGAACCAGATAGATTTTTATTTTGTGTTTCTATATGGCATTTTTAATAGGGTTGGGACTGAGTACCGAGTACATTGAAAGTACTTGGAGCACAGTGTTTGAGTACTTGTACTCGAGTACCGCACAGCTCTGCCAACACCCAAGCAGCATTTTTGGTTCCAAAAACCATTGCCAAAGTGGTGATAACTTTAAATTAGTTAAGTATACTAAACAGCTACTTTAATTTTTACTTAAAAGTAATTCTAACTTTTAAATAGCAATATTTTGTAACAGAAACTTAATTTTTCCTTAAATTGTTACTATAAAGTAATAAACATTTAAGTAAAACTTGGTTGCCCCCAAGAAGACTTTGCAACTTTAAAAAAGATGTTATAAGTAAAAAAAACTTTCAAGTAAATTTAATTTGTAGCAGTTACTTTCGGTTGCTACCTAAAGATTACATTATAATTATTTTTACTTTGTAGTCCCTTTGCAAGTTAAAATCTCGAAACTGGAACATGAGTTAAAAACTACAAAGTTAATAACTTAAAAGTTATTATTTTAGTATTTGGAACGTTTATGGTACTAACCAAAACAACCGTAAAGTGGAAAAAAACTTTAAAGTAGCGAAAACTACTTCAAAGGAAAATGCTTCTTATCGGCCATTTTTTACTGTACAGTACCACGTGGTAATGTAAATAATAAATTATTTTAATTGTTTGTAAATGGTTGTATACTTTTTAATAAATAGAAATATTGTTGGTAATAGACGGTATTAATAATTAAATAAAAAAAATAATAATAAATATTAAGATTTTTTTATTTATAAACATTACTAAATAAATAATTTGTTTATACTTAAATATTGATGAAGCGCATTTATTTTACAAAAACTAAATTCATAAGTTCAACAGTAAAATTTAAAGGGTTTATAAATCTACCTGTCTAATTAAATATTATATTGTTATTCTGGAAGTTATAAACTACCAGTACATATTTAATAAACGACGACATTGAAAAGCCAAGTCCGTAGTGGTTCCATTTAAAAAAGGAGGGATAGTATAATCTAATATAAGTTTGACAAAGACAGTTAATATAGAAGTAAAAACAAATAATAAAAGTAATTATAACGCTCTAGCAACGATATTGGAACGTTCTAGTAACGTAGCAGCTACGTCCCAAATAGTAGCAGGGTTAGTAGCTACTGACATATTTGCTACCTTTTTGGAACTCAATAATTGTTCCCCACTTTAGTCGTAACGTAGTAATGAAAGAGTAATATAAAGAGACCGGCGACTGTCGCAAAACACTTTGAAGTTTCTTCAATAGTCCCATATACGTAACAAATACTTAAATTGTTGCTTGGGCAGGCATATTCTCTTGGGCCAGTGCCCCCTACAATGGTTTGTTTTGCTTCGTCTATAATTTGCTCCAAGTACTGCAAACTCTGCTGCAAACGTTGTTCAATAACACCTGGGCGGTTGACAACTGGTATCCGCAAATTGCCTTTCACAAATGATTTTATTTTGGACCATATGCTTTCTATTGGATTTAGCATCGGCGAATAGGGTGGCAGTCTGATAAGTGTGGCGTCTGTTTGTTCAATTACATCTTCCAGATTGGAATGATAATGCCCCGGGGCATTGTCACATACAATTACCAAATCCAATAGCTGATTTCCTTGGTTTTCCCAAAGGTTCTTGCCGCATCCAAGTTTTCGCCTTCTCCGACGTAAACGAGCTACGTTGCCGGTCCATATATAGTAATCACGCCTGCTGGCGAAAATTTTTTTCGGCCCGAAATAGCGCCATTGAGATGTTACTTCGTTGGGCAAATAAAGATTATTAAGCCCTTTGGATGCTGGCAACTGTCTTACATATGCATATGTCCCCCACTCCGCCGACAAAACAAGTTAAAATTGGTTTCATCGATCTAAATTACACTGTGCAACACAAAAAATTAACTGGGATCAAATCTGAAAAAATCGAATCTAGGCAACCCCCAAAACAAATCCTTTAAGGGGTTTTACCAGTTTAGCTCGAATAATGGAGAAATATATCTCCATTATTCGAGCTAAACTAGCAAAACCCCTTTAAAGATTAGTTTTGGGGGTTGCATAGATTCGATTTTTCCACATTTCATCCCAGTTCAAATTGTATGGTCAAAATTTGTCGCACAGTGTTATTTGCTTGCCTTGCTGAATGAAAGTATGGATGAGCGAAGTCTGAGTAGAGGCGAAGTACTCCCGATATGGATATTAACACACTAGCCTCACTCGCGTCGAATCACCCGGAAAACTTTACACACGATTACCGCCCAACCAGCATTCTTATTTTATTATTACTTCTAAAATACTAATTAATTTTATAAGAGAATGGATGAACTCTATTCTGTTGTTAAAAATGAAGTGTTTTATAAAATTATCGTAAAAACGTTTCTATGAGCAACACAATAAAACAAATACAAAAGTCAAACCTATAAAATAAATTTCTTTTGTTCCTAGTAAATTTCGGCGACATTATTAATGAGAACTATTTTATTTCTTTAAGTAAAGTGTTTCCCTAGTAATCAATATAAAACTGCTTTATATTATGTTATTTGGGTTACAATATAAAAGCAATAACAAACTTCTTATAAAACTAAATTGTTTTCATAGTTATCATTTTGATATCGCTAACTACAATAAAACAAATTTATGTTGAATTAGCTGATGTGGAGTAAGGTAAGGTGGGGTAATTGTAAGATTGGGGTAAATGTAACATCTTGCGATAAAATTCTTACTTGAAGTAGTAAATAAAAGCAAACGAATAAAAACGCACGCTGTTGTCTTGGGTTTCATATCTTAGTAGAGAAATCCCGACAACTACTGCGCAGTACCACTTGGTTACTTAAGTACATAATAATAAATCGTTTTTTCCTTTTTGTATTAACCGCGAAGTCTGTTATTTCTTAAATTAAAAATAAAAAAAAGTTTGCACACATTATGATTATTAACGGATTTACACGATTTTATACCAAAATAATCCTATTTTTTTCCTCTTTTACATTAGCCCCATACCCACTACAAATACCCCAAACAGCACACAACATCCTTATAAGACGTCTTGTTTATGTCTTAATAAGGTCTGAACGTCTTAAGATCTAAAAACGACGTCTTAAAGACATATTTGAGAAGACGTCTTAAAACTAGCAATTTAGTAACGTCTTAAAGACGTCTTTTTAAAGTCTGTTTCGGGATATAAACTACCTAGGATCTACCTGCTGTACTGCAATTTGTACCCGCGGCGTTTACTTTATTAAGATAACCTGTATAAATTAATTAATTATTTCTTTAACTTTTGAATACATTTAAAGACCTAGTAAGGACGTCTTAAAGGCGTATTTTTGAAGACGTCTTAAAGATATGCAATTTGTGATATCCTAAAGACGTCCATAAAAGCCTAGTTTGGGACATTTTAACCTAACTGCCTATTGAGAAACTCAAAAAAATGTACACCCATACAAAACTATCTGTTTGTGTGAAGTGTAAGAATTTGCTCTATATATACTACATA